TTATAAGATACCATTTTTGCTCCGCTATCGCGCGCATCACACTACACGCCTCAGGGAAACTAAAGGAATGAAGTCCGTTTGGATGCGCGTGATGGCGTGCGGGGCCGAAATGTTATAATTATCACAGCTCTGTAAACATCCAACATTTTTCTTGAATTCTGATAATTCAGCGATGAATGGGTCTATACTGTAAGCCATGATACAAAATTATAAAGTGCCCGCTTATAACTAGTGTGCATCAACGCTTATCTTTGAGTACATTCTTCATCACATTACTTTCCAAGGTTCAGCAGTTTGATGAGCTCTGCTCTGATCGACATTAGGTTAGAAATAAAATTTTGTCATTCGCCAAGAATCTGCTCAAGCTAAACTAGCTATATCGGTACTATGTCAACGTCCCACCCCACATAACACTTGTGAGTTACAACTTTCCAGCTGCGTTGGCGACCTGTGGGTACAGCTTTGATGGGAAAACGTGAACCGAATAATTACTAGGCATTTCGAAAAATTCCGTCGTTTTTGGCAGTTTATACTTGAAACGCTTCAGTTCTGTCAAACTTTCGAGAAACTGCTACCACTTCAAGTGAAATGTAGAAAGCGCTTTTCTCGCTTCGTGTAGTCTACTGCTACTTTAACCCTAAAGCAATTTCCCCTTTTTTTGAAGGTCTTTAATGCAACATACTCAAGGCTGTTTTGCACAAACGTTTTGCTTTCCTCTCAAATTCGGTCGGAAAAGTGTGGAGGCAAGTCGGTATATCAACTGAACATTCGGTTCCATACGGTGTGTAGTTCGTTATTAGAGTGAAGATCGTATAACGGGGCTGACCAAGATCAAATGAGGGTTTTGATCTCAACATTTCTGCATGGAACTGTTCAGAAGGCCTCTTCTTGATCAGACGTAGTTGAGATGGAGCTCCTAAATGCACAGGTGAGGGTGAAACGCTCAAAGAAGTCGACAAGAGGATGCAAGTTGACTTAGCCGAGCTACAAAACTGAGCTGCGGACATCCTGCACAATAGCTCTCTTGTCTACCAACTATCACTTTTCCATCAATCTGGATAGTCTTTTCAAAGAGATCAAACATTGAAACCCAGCATGATGAACGAACAACCTTCACCGAGTTCTTCGCCTTCAAAAGTTCAGCCTTTCAACACTCTAATCTTATAGATATTCCTTTTGTAATAAATGTATAGGGATTGTAATAGTAATATGGATCGAAAATGCTTTGTTTAAATCAAGATATGCGCTTTTGAATTTGAGGGTTCAGATCCTGAAATTTCAGAAAAACCCATACATCGATCACAGATAGACTATTTGAAACTTACTTTCAGCAAATAGTTATTTGTGTTTGGAATACTCTTCACATAGATAGGTCGCTGTGTTACGATGTACACGTCGTTGGCCGTCTTTAGGGAATTTAATTCAGTTGAATAACACCTCAAATACTCTGATGACCCTAATGACTCTTTAATAGTTCTTCCATTAATCTGCCCATCAATTTGGTTTGTTTTGATGTGGTTTGTTTGACAGAGAAGGTTCATCAGGCAGCGCATGCATTTAAGTGAGGTCAAACCCACAGGCAACTCTGCAAAGGTGGGAGCTAGATGGAGGTGCAAAAACTCGATCAAGTCAAACACCCAGAAAAGGGTCCCATTTTGCGCGTTCTCGACGGATTTCTTTGATTCTTTTTGCCACTGAGGCATTATTCAGCATCCCCACTTCCACCATAAACCCAGTCCAATCTTGTCTAATCCCTCGCTTCAAGGGATACGGGATCAAATACGTTGTTGTGACAAGCTAGAGAATCTGCTAAACGTTGCTGGAGGACGGCCGGGTGGCCGTTTCTTTTCGTGTGGGTACCATCGCGCAGTTGAAGCATTTGATCTGCCATCATTTCTCCTCATCAAATGACCAGCGAATCTGTGTTTTGCTTCATCGACGTGAAGGAGAACGTCGGCATGGCCCTGATATCCGAGTTGTGAAGCTCTAGCTCTCGTTGTTGTATCAAAATGAAACCCACCAGACAACCTTCGATGGATACCTAAGCGGACTTCAACTTCAAAGATTTTATAAGAGTCCAATTCTCTCCTGCGTTTGTGAGGGTAGGTATCACCGTTGAATTCTGGGTCACCTTGTCCTGCTCCTTCTTCTACTGCAACTACGACGCCTTTGTCGAACAGATGAAGTATTGTTGTGCAATCTGCATTCCCGTCACAGTTCCACGTATACCTGATCAAAACCTTGATCTTTTAGCGCGTTCTAGCACCAAATCAAGCGCCTTTCGTAATCGATGAATGTTATTACGAGCGGTAAGTGATGTTCGAGAGATGCTTTAATGACTCGTCGACAGGTCACAATATGATCGAGTGCACTGAATTTCCGGCGACAGCCTGCTTGTTCTATTGGTTTTGCTTCTTCCAGTGTCCTTCAAACACGTGCCAGTATGCAACGAGTGAATACTTAATAGAACACCGGCTTGAATAGCAACACCGTCGATGACTGCTACCGTGCTTTTGGAACTTTGCATTCCTTATGTAACGTGTGTATCTCTTGGCAAGCGCTTGATATGAAGTTGGCCCACGGGCTTGGAGGGGCTCAGTGGTGATACCGTCTTTTCCTGGAGCTTTCCTCGTGGCATTGTTTGAATCGCATGCCGTACCTCTGATGAAAGAAAAGGCAACACTTTATCCGTGGTCAGCTTCTCTTCCGTTGTGATGGTGACTTCTGATTTGAAGAGGAATAAAATGTTGCGATTATTTGTTCCATTTCTGGCATAGATGTACAGCGCAAACCATCTTCAGTCTTTAGACATGGGATTATCAAACGATGCTCTGCGATCTTTCTTCTGGCTGTTTTCAAGCTTCCTTTTGCAACTGCCTCGCTTAAAAGTCTGGATTTCGTGAAGTTGATGTGGTCTTCAGTGATGCGCCGTCTGCACAATCTACTTAGTAGCGTGTACTCGACATGATTTTCTTCCGATCCATATTCCTCCTTTTCTCGAGCAAGGCACGAGTAGAGGCGGAAATGCGACGAGCGTTGTGATTCGGAGGCTATACTACGGCAGCGTTCTGCGATCCTTGATACCGTTCTTATAAGATTGTCATAGTCGTCGTTAATGTCAACAATCATTTCAAGAGACTCCATTTGTAAGCATTGTAACTGCATCTGTATTGGGAGCTGGGAACGGTGGGGCGTGGTAGTCGTGAACCTATTCGAATGAGGCATACGAGACCACGATCAATGGAATCGTCCCCGTCCCCGTAACATCTCTTCTTTCCAGCATCGCCTCTGGCTCCGCCCGAATTACCTTCGATGTCCATAGCGTGTAGTTTTTGTACGTTTGTTTCTCTTCGGAAACCGAATCTTCATGCGTGAAACTTTGTGTGCTGTTTCCAGTGATCACAACTGACACATTCATGTCAAGAAAGAATGCAAGAATTTTCCGCGAAGGATTCCTTTAACACGCTAGCAGTAACTCAAAGCTAACCAAATATTAGGCTGTCTCAAAAGTTCGTGCGTGTTTGAACTTCTCCTTTGAGCGTACTCTATTTCAAGCACATGCACTATCTGTCGTCGATGTCTGCAGCATCACTGTCCTGTGACTTGCTGTCAAACGGAGAGCGGCCGCTTAACCTCAGAAGGCGGCGGCTACGAGCTGAAAAGGTAGTGAAGTCGATTTTGAGGTGCCTAAGAAAATCGTATTTCAAGTCCTCAAGATGATTGCTAGTGAAACGATTAGAAGCACTTCAAAAAATAGGCTGATCATCACTACTATGGACTATGGACTATGAATAAGGTAGGACGTTCCAGCAGAGCTTCGACGTAGGACGTTCCAGCAGAGCTTCGACGTAGGACGTTCCAGCAGAGCTTCGACATCTACAAGCGCGTCATTGTCTACACGCGCGGTCTCGGTTGTCGTGAAGCGTACATAGCTTTTTTTCGAGTTTTCAGGAGGTTGCTTGGGCGTTTTTTGTTTTGTTGGAGTTTCGCCATGAGTCTGTGCTGTTGATCACATTATACTTGACTGAGTTTGAAGCTGTAACGAGAGAGACTGATCTGGTGGTCATTTCAAGAGTACTCCAGAAAAGGCGGAGCATGACCTTGTGAGTTGTGAAAGTGTCCGTTTTCCATCCTCTTCTGCTCGATCCAGCCACTGGGGTTTTTCCTTATGGCTGTCATGAACCTGCACTTCTCAACTGCAGTAGCAGCTTTGTTCAACCAGGGCGTACGGTGGTGAAGTAGGAAACAAATTACGGACGGAACTCGTGCCGCACTCCTGTCATCAGTGGTCAATCATGAGGGAATCTTTGGTGAGGCTTCAACCATTCTACGAAGGAGCGAGAACCTCTACGCATTGTGCATCTGGAACACCAGGATGTGGTTGCCACAAAGCAGGTAGCCCCGTGTGGATTGGCTCCCACGAGAGAGCGCAGCCTGTCCAAATCCGACACCGATGGCCTTCCTGAACGGGGGTTTTTTCCAGGCTATAGCCTTTTGAACAGAGAAGATCCATCCATTCTTATACCTCTGGAAGGCATCGACAAGAAAATGTATTGCAAAGCAGACCGGCCGGTTTCGATCGATTCGTGGTCTAGTAGAAGTTCTTTAGTCAGAACGTGGAAAAGATGGCTCCATTCTTCCCTTACTTGGAACTTGAAGAAGGTAACTAGGGTGGGCATAAATGGATTATAAGTTACTACTCATGAACCGTCTCCACATCATACGTTATCATAACTGGAATTTACAGGAGCTTGTGGCATAAGATCCAAAAAGTACCCACGAGCATTTGAGACAACATAGTATAAAACTCGCATCGGATGTCACGTATTCGGTCAGCGCAAAGTACAAAAATAGACTAAGAAGGAATTATAAGAGCGAGAGAAGGAAAGGTTCAAATATTTATAGTCTACTCTGTCAAAGGCAGATATATCAGCATAAAGCACTGATTCGATAAAAGGAAGCGTGAAACCGAAACAATCTCATATGTACAAACAAAAGCGCTATCGCGCAGAGGCATCATCGGGAGTGACAATTTTCCCTGTCAGCCGGTCCACAGTAGCCTTGACGACATCTTCATCGGACGGTTCCACTGCTGCGGAAGATTCGTTCACCGGCTCGCTTGGCTCGTTGTCTGCGATAAGGGCAGATGAGCTTGCCTTGACGCAGGCGCTGCTGGGTGATATCTTCATTGGAATTTGCGGGCTGTCGCATGTGAAAACAGCTCTAGGTGTGTGGAAGTCGGCTTTGACTGGTTCTCTTCTCTGAATACGATTTAGATAGAGAACAGAATAATAATACTAAGGATAACAAGAATACTAGTAAAGATTTGGATAGTATAAACGATAAAAGGATAAAGATAAAGCATTTGCCGTTGATCAATCCCTTTTTGGGATGCGGCACGCATTCTACTTCCATTTGTACATTCGTAGTGGCGTTTGAATGCGATGTGGCCTATACAATGACTTGCGGGGCCAGCCGATGTACAAGTCAGTGTTTTTATCCTCCCAGACAAGTCTGGTACCAATTAACCGACCCCGGAGGGATGGAAGGCTTGGTTGGCCCGGGCGACTCACGACCCAGGATTTGATCCCCGGACCGCTCGCGTGGTAAGCGCGCCACTTGTCACTACACCACTTCCGCCCTTAGAAATAATAAATAGAAATAAATATGAATGATAGTATCTAAAACCACCAAAGCTGTACTAAGAAACCTACCCTGTTTTCTGGAATGAGCAAGATGAGCAGCACTGGGAGAAAGAGCAGCCCATGAAGCATTGAAAATAAGATAACTAAGAACACCGTCTTGAAAAAGATAAGTACGATGTAAGCGTCGACCAACGTCAGTACTGTAATCCCTAGGATCGTAGATGTGGCACCCTGAAGCATTGACCTCAGGAGAATAAGGGCAAGTCAAGAAGAAAGTAATTAACGGAATATAGGAAACACTACATATTCGTTGAGATTGCATACTAAGGTCGATTTAAGGGAGTTTACTTTGTAACAGTGAAGACAAGTGACTAACCAAAAAGACTGGCCAGCCAAGGGTCTCCAAAGCATACACCGCCCGCTCGTGTGCAGTCCCATAAGCCTGTGAATAGGCGTAGGCGATGTGAGCAGACAAGTCCACAGCAAACCCAATGCACATAATTAGCTAAAATCAAATCTGGTTCGCGAAAACAAGTTGTTTGCTTGAAGGACAAGAGTGTTCCGAAGCAATATTCTGAAATGCGATGTAAAAGCACCCTCGGCCTGGTTGCTTCTCTGAGAACTCGACTTTTAATGAAACTCATTGACGACTAGATGTTTCTTTTGCTTGAATATGCTACTTGTCTTTGAAAAGTCATGATCTACAAATTAGATTTTGGAGGGATGGGCTTATCCCGCAGTGGTGCAATAGGGCAATCACACTCCACAGCCTATGTAGGAGAAATTGAAAAAAAGCCATATGCTTGCATCTGGTCCCAACTCTTCAGAACAATGTTAGATATTACTAGAAATGTTCAAGAAGAATAGGTTTCGTAGTCTCTCCAAGGATACATTATTCTAGCATTTTGTCCGCTCCTTAGTCTTTAAGAAATCCCATCTTCTCAGAAACCTTTCTACTCAGAAGTGTCCTGATGAGCAGAGAAGATACAGTCACTACGCCTATAATCCGATGCACGTCCACTAAACGAGGAATGGTCGGTAGGTCTATATGGCCATTAACGGTGTATTGTACACCGTCGTAAGCGCCTCGGACGCTGAGCCCAAGTCCATTTTGGGAATCGGCGAAGACACTTTCGTCGATAAGCGTTGTTGTGATGGCCTAGACTTACAGACTGGTAGTGATAAGATCAATCCGTTGTCGAGACTATTCGTTTGTTCTTCTTGGAGTTACTGTCATCATAAGAGTTTGCGGCAGAGCTTCAGAAATTCAGGAACCATTTGCGATTTTGCTCTGACGCTCATAGTACACACGTGAATGGCTTGCGACCAACAAAAATTTTTTGGAGGTATACACTCTTGAGGCAAGTTTTAAACAAATGCATGCCTTCCTGAAGGCAAGCCAGTGTCAAACTACTTCCAGTATGCGAAAATGAAAGCATCAGTGAGAAGTGGGTAGGCAGCAAAGAGAGGAAATAAAAACACTGGTCGAGAACGGCAAGCCTGAGGACTAGAGAAAATGGAAACGGTCGAAGCTGTTTTGGAAGGTCCCGGCGCCCTTGCTGCGCACCTTAGAGCTAGAACAACAGGACATCCGCGACCTTCATAAACACCTTAATTCAATCGCTAATGGGCCAGACATAAAAAAAGTCTTCCTATCTATGTTTTGCGAGCAGCAAAGAAGCAAGCTGAGGACTAGAGAAAATGGAAACGGTCGAAGCTGTTTTGGAAGGTCCCGGCGCCCTTGCTGCGCACCTTAGAGCTAGAACAACAGGACATCCGCGACCTTCATAAACACCTTAATTCAATCGCTAATGGGCCAGACATAAAAAAAGTCTTCCTATCTATGTTTTGCGAGCAGCAAAGAAGCAAGCTATCCAAGTAATCCATCCTATCGTCTTTAACGTCTAATTTTGGGCATTCACGGCATTCTGCTCTCCTATTTCATAAGCTCTTTGATGAGATCGTCCCACGATCGAAAACAGAGTGAGTTTAGCGTCTCGAAATGTGTATGTCGCTACCTTACGACTTCCTACTTGACCTTTCAAGTATGGTGATTATGTGCACTTTTGGTCAACCAGAGATTGAACAGCGGATAGCGCTTTATCTTCTTCTTTTTTTGTGCAATTTTCTTATGTGTTCAGGACAACTACGAGGACTTACCGTAATCATAGAGACGCTGTCGAGATTCACTCCCCAAAATGTCATGAATCCTAGCACTCCTGAAAATGTTCTACAACCTTTTCTCAACGGCAGTTAATACAATGAACGGATAAATTTTGAATGCAGACCTATGTTTACGCTTGCAATGCAGAGGACCACGGCTAAGGCGGCTCTGGCGTCCGGTATCATTATCACCGTCACAGCAAACATTGCCAGCAGGCCAAATGTGAAGTTCTGCACCAGCGATGGCTTCAACTCGAGATACTGGAAGCAAACACAAGGCGTCAATTTTGAGTTCTCTATAACGACATGTGTAGGTTTTTTTTTAGCACAAACGGTTCCCATACTTATTATTCGAACATACTTCTGCGACACTTACGCAAAGAAAAGCTGACCTGATCGGCGAACGGATAGTATTCATGGAATGTGGTGACGTTGAAATCGGGATACCTGGAAGCGATTTCGCGCATAAGTTTGCAGCTGTTAGTGTGATCCGTCGGCGTCTGGTAGTTTCTCAAACCAAGTTGAAATCGGAATGCTTTCAGAGTGTAGAAATCCTAAAATTGAACGTAATTGTAGCAAAGGATAGGTCGACGAGCCATTCATGGACAGATCCAAACAGCTCTTTCGCCTTCCAGAGACTGGTGGTGGGCAAAATACGCGACGCTTTCGTTCCGCCAAAAATACGCGGTAGCAACAATACGCTCAAAATGCATCTGAGTTTTGTGCCCAACGGTTTCAATTTCGCTTGCAGATAGCCGATGATTAAGGCTCAAAAGTGCGCGACATTGACGCTGGGGTCTTGCAAAGCTAGCATTTGGTGACTAATCCTAGCACGTGTTACGACAAGCGACGAGTTACGAAGCGCAAGCCCCATGACGCATCGTGGATCACGGTGTAACGGTCAAAACAAATACGCGCGAGTTAGTTGAACCGTGGAGCACGCAAATTCGTAGAACTCGTCTAGCCCCGCCCTCTCTTTTTTCAAGGAAATTTTCGTTTTGGACTTCATCGACGATTTTTTTTCATTTTTTTAACATTCCGGCTTCCGAAATTTCATTATCAACCGCGTGGCACCACTAATTCGATCTAGGAGTATTGCTTCGAACCTGAGCGATTTTTCTCCACCTCTGTGTGCTCTTAATGCTATTTCGAGTTGGGCTAAGAAATGGGGGCTTGTGATTTCATTGGACAAAACAGTTGTACTTCGATTGGGGCCTCCTCGCCTTAGTGTTCACAAATTTGTGCTTGATGGCGTAGAGCTTAAGGAACCAGATGTACTTCGTGACTTGGGCATTTTCTATTCCAGATCATTGTCTTTTAATGATTACATTACGAAAATTGTACATTCAGCACGCTGCAGAGCGAATTTCATTCTGCGTGCCTTTTCTTCAAGAGATGTAAAAACATTGTTTCTACTCTTTGTCACCTATGTCCGCCCCATTCTAGAGTACTGTCCTATGGTTTGGAGTCCCTCAACGCGTAACATGGTTGAACTCATTGAGGGTGTTCAGTCGAAATTCACTGAACGAATTTTCGCTCGCCAAGGTATTTTCCATATGTCATATAGAGACAGGCTGCGACATCTTAATGAAACTCCCTAGAAATGAGAAGGAAACTATTCGATTATGACTTTGTTTACAAAATTTCCGCTGGGCTTGTAGATTTGGATTTCGACAATCTTTTCAAAAAATCTACGACAATCGGTCGTACGAGAGGCCATAACTACAAGCTTCTGAGGGAAAAACGAATTCCTCTGAATTTCGTAGTTCGTTCACACAAAGAATTGTAACCCTATGGAATGATTACCTCCTTCTGTGATTAACTCGAGCTCTCCTAGCGCGTTTAGGGCAAAGGTCAAGAAGATTATGCTATCGCAAGGTTGGTTCTGAGAACAGAAAAAAACGAGCTTTTGTTTACAAGACAGAGAAGCGATTTACTCATTGGTTTATAGTCTATGGAGTTGTGGAATGTAAAATTTTATGTTCTTTTTTTGTTGTCGTTCATAGTTCTCCTGTGTTGACTAGCCGTCCTTTTTGAAGGCTTCGACAAGGTTGGCGGACCTACTAAGTTGGTATCCGGAGCTCTATCGCGCCTCATGAGCTTGCAGTGTTGGCGGCCGCTGCCCTTCTGCGTCACTCCCACTCCCTCTCCTCGCAGTTCGGCTTCTTGTTACCTCAATAGCTTGAATCTGTTGTTTATCGGTGATTCGCTCCTAATAATCACTTTTTCATTGTGTTACTTGTTTTCGGTTCCGATAATAAATCATAAATCATAAATCATAATCCTTAATTGATAGTTTTTTTTTTCATAAACTGCGCAGCATCCCCTGTTCATCACTTGTGTGGTTCATTTTCATCAAAATTTTCGAGTGGTTAAACTAATCAAAACTAATGGAAAAGGTTCGAAATGATTCCACACGTTTTCTGGTGAAATAAACAACAATGCCTTGAAAAGTCGTCTTCGCTATGAACGCTTGAAAAGAATAAACTAAAAAGAAATGGACCTCTTCACTTCGTCCCCATACCATGTCCTTCTCTCCCAGAGTCGCCGGCCACCGGCCACCAATAGCCAATCGCGACATCGATGGTACCACTCGGAGGAGCTGCAGAGAACAACTAGTTGCTCATATTTGACTGACGAATGTTTTTTTAGAGACTACGAGCATCACAGATCAAGTCCCAATAATCGCATGTTACAGTGTCCCCAAATATGGGCGCCTACTTCACGCAATATATACAGGGGGGGGGGGCCAAAAAAAAAGACATTTTGCCTCCACTTCCAGATGATCCAGATGATGTAGATTTAAGCACATTTTACTCAACTCAGACCGAACGGTTCCAACTTATTATTAAAGAGTGCATTCCATTCTATAAGAAAATCTTCATAGTGGACGGCATCAGAAGAATTAGCCCTGGAAACATGGTGCACTGGTCGATCTCAATGGGGTCTTCGAAGGATCGTGTACCATAACGACCCTTACTGGAAAGCTAGTTCCGAGGGGATTTGCACAGTGGTAGCTAATGCCTCTAGAAAACTATCCAACATTAAATCGATTCACGAAATTGCGTAAGAGCTTCAGGCTGAAGCTCTTACGGTAGACCTCCTTGAGCCTGACGACGGTGACAGATGACGTCATATTCTGAAGACGGTGAGGGCAGTGAAGGAGCCCTGCGTACACTTATAGAGGGAACACTTAGGGAATACTCTGCTGAGGAACTCCCGTCAACGACAGCAATCTCTGCGAAGAAAAAAGAGCCGAAGTCCGACATAGGCAAAATGTCTTTTTTTTTGGCCCCCCCCTGTATATTCCAAGCAGATCAAATGTGAGATGCAGAAGTGATTATAACGTCACGTTAAAATATACAACAATGTGGAACAACCTGATTTCAAAATGCTATCCACTACGACGAATTTAGGCTGAGAGTTTGCACGCAGATATTCCTCGTATATTTTTTACAGGGCTTCCTTCACTGTTGTTTTTAGTGACTCACAAGTGGCGGCAATGACGATCTCAGCAGACCACACTTCCACTCAGTGACCACACTGAAAAGTGAGGTTGCTGTGGACCTGGAGAAATGATGGCCATTCCTCGATGCTAACAAGAGTCATGCAGCTGAAACTGGCACGTGACTCTTGAATGAACTGGCTCTATGGGCTAGGGATTATCTTGCAGAAGCACCTCGAGCTATTGCCACGGTGGGACTACATAGAGCCGACCCATCACCACGTCTAACCTCAAGTCTCCAGGTTGTTTGTCATGGTTCTGCTAGTGACAACAAGGAAAACTAACAGGCCTCGGAACGCAATCGGACATGAATGCCTCTTCCAAATCATAACGTAGGCCGCAACTTCGTGACCTAGCGAACAATCTTTCTTTGTGGATTAGCAATCTCAAGATTTGTGGCCGAATGGAGCCGTTGTGGGTAATGGACCCGGCTCAATCTTTTTCTTTCAAAGGAAAGGATAGTTGGGTGCGTGAATTCAATAGATTGGGTGAGCATCCTTCGAATTTCCGGCCCTCTGCTGCCTTCTTGTATCGGAGGTCGGATGGCGCTCCTGCATATGATAGGAAATGTTATGAACTTCTTCACTGGCCATCTTCTCCATCGACGACTCCAATTTGTCCTCGGCGGTCTTCGACGGAGCGTTTGATGCGGCCCCACTTGAGAATTGTAAATGTTCCAGTCATTCCTTTCGGCAGTATGCTTAGCCGTTCCCTGGTTCCCGTGCATTCAAATGATCGCAGGTCGCGCTGAAAGACATTCCACAACACGGAAGATTGTATAGGTTTCATCCGATCTATGAAACAAATTACAAGAAGACCTCCTCACAAGAAGACCTCCCCATCCTTAGCAAACAAAGTGAAAATTAACTAAGTAAATTTTCGGATTTCGGTGCACATAATTTTGGAACTCCCTTTGTAAATACCGCACAATTAACGCGGTTGATGTAAAATGACTGACTTGAATGGCTTTTCGATATTCAGCTCGTTCTTCTCTCTTTCCAAATGCAGCTCATACGCGTCCAACCATATCATTGTTGCATTGTGATTCATTGTGTATTCAGTGTTCTCGAAGTCTGAACGACACTTTTTTGTTGTGTAAGAAATGAAAACGAATCTTAAGAGGGATTTTAGGCGAAAATCTGAGGTACAGGAGGACGGGCATAGTCATTGGCTCTCAGTGATCCTCGCTAATGGTAGGATTGAGAGCTGCTATGACACTGCTCACTCCAGTTGACGTCGTTTGTCAGCCCATACTGTTGATAAAGTACGCGGCGTTAGAGTCTCCCACAATCCGGCTGCAGTGCCTTAGAGGAAACGGCCCTGGATTAGAGAGTGGACACCTATACCTTTAGCCTAAGGGAATAGGAAATCCAGCGTGGACGACCAGGTGCAAAAAAAATGACAAAATGGTGGGATATAGGACATTCACTGACCTCTATCAACACGGATTTCAATATGAAAAGATAGCCCGTTGGAAATTAAGTTAGAGATGGGCAGTGATGCATGAAAGAAGAAAAAACCAAACAAAAGGGTTATTAAATCCAGAAGTTCCTAATAATGGGACCCCCTCTTCGATTATTCACTGGCGCGTTAGGTGTGTCTCAACGGTGCTTTGTTCTTCAACCCTAGTGCTCCCCTGCTGAGGAGCTGGACGTCTCTTTGCCGCATCTGCGTCTCTTGCTTCGCCGCGCGGTGGGCCTGTTGCGGGACACCCGGGATACTACCCCGACAGCGCACCAATCGCCCCGCGCGGAAGGTCACGCTAAATCGCTGGGGCGTATCCTTTAATGCGAATTGCGAATTGTGGCGATCTGCTCCCTAAGGAGACAGCCTGTCCTCCACTAGGCACATCTTCCCTTCTTCGACTTTCGTCCTTATCGTGGAATCCTAAATGAGTCGGTTACGGATTATCTTACCCTTGCTTAAATGTTACACAGCCCGAAGGGGTGCTCGCCAATACTAAGGGAGAGATTATTGCGTGCCTCTTCTCCCAATTTCATTTTCACGTGTTCTAAATAAGTTCGTGCGAAAAAAAATAAGTGAAATTCTGTAGTACTCACCAGCCATCATTTTCGTGAATTTGGCTCGCTGGGTCGTATTGAAGAGATCAGGTGGCCGATTTACAACCACTTGCATTTGCAGACCTTAAACTTGTAATAAATAGTGTGGTTCAAGCTGATATAGTATATGGGAACATTTTGAGAATATTGGCCGAAATAGAAGTAAAAGGCGAATCGGAGTTGGACGACGGTGGTGACGGCTCCATAAAAGTATAAAAGATTGCGATGGCACTTATGATGATAATGTTGAGTTAAAAGGTTTCAGCACGTTGACGACCGTGTGGTATGATGTCATACCACACTTTCACATGGAGCAGACTAGTTTTCCTTGATTTATTTGGCGTTTTTTCCTGTTCCACAACGGTCCATGTACATTATTGGATCCGAAAAACAATTTTTTCATTACTGATAATGAAAACGCTGAAGGATTAATGCCTATTGATGAGAGAATACGAAAAATGTTGAAGCAGTGCGCGCATAACGGCGGTCGTCAACGTGTTAACGACAGCGCAGCGGGAGGTGACGGGCTCGCACGGTCTTCTCTTCAATCGTGCCTTCATTCCAGGCTTCACTGATTCTACGAGCAGATGCAGAAGCATTCGGTTTCGAGCTCAACTTGCACTCATGTAGCAGCAATCTTTTTTGCTCACGTGTAAGCTCCATAGTGAAGCAAATACACAAGTGTTGTACATCAAAATGTACAAGAGATTGCGCGCTTCAGACTACATCATAACCTTTGAAAATAATCAGCAAAAAATCGAATAGCGAGACGCCTGAAAACGTAGGATAATTTTTGGTGAACCTAATAGCTTGACGAATTTCTCGAGCTTTGATTCGGTAGAAATCAGTTGCTGCTCTTGGCCTAGGAGAGCACATGGCAGTAGGAATAGCCCTGCAATTTTCGGACCTAACAATGCAGAGTTTACGATTACGATTCGATTATGATTGCGTTATGATACGATTACGAAGACAGCTCATTAGAATCAAGATAGAGCTTAATTTCTGCATTGATGCGGCTCTCATCGGTGCTCCACTGTTCGATGCTACGCTCTCTCTACTAAACGGCCAGAGACCTGCAACGAGTGGTCGGGCAATCGGTGGGCGTACTGAAGTCGATAGCGGACTAGGCCATGCTAGATCCCCTTATGGCTCGAATTCGCAAGTGTTTCTAAATACAAAACGGATAACGCTTGAGTTTTACAAAGCTTCATCTGAAGCACCGAGGACAAATAGTGGGCCCATCGACTTCGTGGCTATGCCTATTATGGCAGGAGAATGCTGACTTAAGCCTCACCTTCATACCAGAATGTTTCATGAATCAACCGGTAGAAGTTGTTGAGATAGAAGGATTCTCTAACGAGAAATCTCGGATCAAGGCCTTCCTTGACATTCAGACAGCCAAGAATCGCCAGTGTCATATAAACGATATAGAGCAACACGGCGCATACCTGGAGATTAAGCTAGGATAATTGGAGTAATAGGCGAGGAATGCTCGATAGACTGCAGTGCATATAAACCAACCTGTGTGCTGCGTTCGAGAAGAAACGGTCCAATGATTTCACGGAACAATTTGTTCACAAACGTCTCTTCATGTGGCGTCTGCTCGGAATGCTAAATCACTGCAATATTTGCATGTGTACAGCACTGAATAGCCCACGAAAGATCAACGCTGTTGAATGATCCTTTTGGAAAATCGTCTTGAATTGATTAGCATTTGCGCCGTTGAGACGCTTGCATGCGGGGCAAGTGTGATTACCAGGAAAGTGTGATGCTCACTAATCATAAGTGTTGCGTGTGAATGGCAAGGCACAATGTTAAAGGCATGCCCCAGGATCACATTGGTGTGGCTCTTGCACACGAATGCGAATGTATTGGTGCGAAGTGGGCCGGCAGTAAAGAAAAAAGGAAAAGAATCCGTCGAAAACGCTCAGGTTAAGGGCTCACTCACCTTCCTAATCGGCTGTGCTAAGGGAATGAGAGACTAAGCGCGGAGAGGAGAGTATGAGGCGAGAGCGCAACAGATGAGAGGGCGCCAGACAACAGCCTGATAAAGAAAAAAATCTGCAGCTGCAGCAGCTTACTTTGCAAGGCCCTAGCGCTCTTGTCGGTGATTTCCGTGCACAGAAATGCCACATCTGTGATTGTCTTCTAGAGTCCATAGGTAATCGCGCACACTACTTCTGCCCGGGTTGCGCCTTTAATGACGGATATCCCGATGAACTCTTTCATTTTTCTCTATTTCCGATCACTTCTCATCCGTACGTTCATTTTCGTATGCATCACACTGCGCTTAACCACATTCTTTCAAGCGTACCTTTTCGTGGTGTTCCAGCTTAGTCTCCAATTTCTTGAATGCTCCACTCAGCTTGGACTTCCAGCCTTTACATTCTTTTGACGGCTCTGAAAACTTTGATCTTCACGAGGTTCAAACATTTATTCGGTCACTGCCATTGAGTATCAGTGCTCTCAACAACTTACTCATCTTACCCTTTCAGAGCACTACAGAAAGTGTTGCGACCACATTGGCTCGGCACAATAATGCGCGCGCCACAACGACGTCGACGACAGTGTGTAGCAATCAGAATTTTGGACGTTGACCCTGCCAACATTGGAGCGCGACCTATTCACCGTGTGAGATTGGCCTCTCCTCTTTCGCTTGCTTCTGCGCATCGCGACCTCCAGGCAGTTTTGGATTATCACGTATTTGTTTTAGTTCCGTCTTTCCAACGATCAATTTCCTCTCTACATTCACAGGCATTCGCCCTCCACCCTTGTTGGTCTCTTAGTAATTTTCAGGGCTTCTCAAGTCTATACAATAGGGTGTTGAGTTAAGTCAATAGGTCACATCCACAAGGGGTGCATGACCTGCCCATTTTGGATCAAAATAAGCTAGCCTCTGCTTTAGCAAACCCGAAACTTGTCGAGTGCAGACCACACACCACAAGTGACGACGGCCTCCAAGTAAATCTGGTAGTAGTGGTTCATAGTGATAGCTGATTTTGGTAAATGATAGTTGTAATTAGTGACAACTGATAGAATACAACTGCAACAGGCTAATCATTTCATTGGCAGAAAACATTTACATTTTGTGGAGGCCGTCGTCACTTGTAGTGTGCTCTGCGCTCGCGCGCTTCTGGTTTTCTTAATACAGGAAGGTAAACGTTCCAGTCTATAGTGAGACTTTATCTATGGAGGGTATTGTCCATCCCTGTGTTTCTGATCTCCACATGTTGAGTAATAACATCATCTACCTCATAGATGTGAAAGTAACTTGGATGCGGGCAGTCGATGGAACAAGATATGGGCCTGTTCCAATTAAGGGACATAATTATGTTGCTTTTCTAGAAAGCTAACTCCGAGTCAGGGGGAGTGTAGGCAGGCTAGGGGGGATGGGGTGAGGGCAGTCACTTGACATGCGTGAAAATGGCCGAGTTTACACTAGCTCGCCGAGAAGCTGCATCATGATGCCGCCCTAATTGGAACAGGCCCCAACATATTATTACGGATCTTAGTTTTTTTTGAAGATTACCACTAAATATAATAGTACTTTCTATGACGTCTGGTTTTCGCTTTAGTGTTATTTGTTGTAGTTGGCGTCAACTCATGCTGTGCAGATTCGTTGGGTATGACTACAATGTTTGTTGGGCTTCGTAGTGCCTTTTGCAACGTTATAAACACATGCATATCAACACACAGATTTTCGATATAATAGCTGTCTTGAAGCAACGCACTGAACTATTCCTTATTCGAAACTCACCTATGGTTTTCTCTGGAAAAGACTCTCTTTTGCATTGTTGCGACTTTCCTGGATACTGAACCAGCCATCAAGAAGAGCTTCCACTTGGACACTAGAAAGAAAGACTTTCAGGCGACGAGGTACATTTCCGTGCTTGCAGCCGTGATGCAAATGATGGCATAGATCATAACTGACTTCCACTGACAGAGAATGTGCCCCTAACCATAAGTGTCTGACAATGAGAATGTCATTACTAGTGATGATGAACCAAGATTTCATTACTTTGTACGCGAT